CCCAGTGTACATATTGCAGGGAACAGCACTGTTTCAGGTAATTTTATTTTAACTTTTCTCTGTCTGGAAAAATTTTTGAAAATGCTTATAAAAAAGAAAAGGGGCGTAAGAACAGAGAGGTTAGGTAGTGGCGTGCTTTATGTAATATTCTATTTCCCATAGAGATCACTGCCAATTTGATGTACATTACAGCAAGAAATTCTGTAGTGGAAAATAATGGAATATATTTTCATTTTATTAAAATTTAGCTTGTGAAAATTAGCATAATGCTTGAAATCTGACCCTTATCCTATTCATTTTTTGGGGCTTACTTGTGCTACGTGATGCTCTTGTTATCCTCATGAAGTTTCTGTTTCTTGAATACAACTTCAATGGCATTCTTCAGAAATGAATTTGCACAGTGTGCAATTACACTGTTCAAAAACATCTATTTCCTTTTTCAGTTATAAATGCATTATCTTTTGTCTAAATGGATGTTTCCTTGTTTATATCTGGTGAGAAGAAGCAATTCTATTAGTTCTAACCACCTTTCCAGTCTTTTTCTGTGTACATTTATTCCATTTCCTTGTATTTATTTCTGGTTTAAAGCATAGTGTCCATCCATCTTCATAACAGTATTTTTCCATGTATGAATGTCTTTGTCATCAGTTCTGTCCTTCTTCTATTTTTGCTATGTCATCCCTGGGGACATAAAATCTAAAACAAATCATAATGACAAATTATAAATTAATTTAGCATGCATTTGCACACAATCTTCTGCTTCCTCTAGGACTCTTGGTATTTCTTGAACTGACTTACAGTTGATTCAAGCAGCTGTCAGTTTTTAAAATAAGTGTATTTTCCAGAAGTATTTTGCTTTTCTCTCTTACACATTTTCTTTGGACAAAGATCTACACTGACTAACTTACATGCCAAACCACAAACAGCATTCCTATCCATGTCAGTATTTCAAATCAAAGTGGGTTTGTTATCAATGAGAATTGAGTTTGGCTAGAGACAGCATATTTCCTTTCCCTTGTAGGGCTGGACCTCACCTTTCTATTGATAGGCCCTGAGAGTTTAGAAAGGAAGGTCAGACCATCTTGGGGTGTTTTCTGGCTTCTAAACCAGCTATGTTTAGGTTTTGTTTTAAATAAGAATTATATTAAAATCCCAAAAGAGTAGAATGCAACATTTCTCAAATTGTCAAAAACAGCTTTTATATAGTAAATGTGACTTACACACCTATGTATATATAAGTGAAATGTAAGTATTGCATTTGAATGAGCTTGGACTTTGTGAGGACTTGCAGAACTCATGTACTGTAGCCATCCAGAAATCATATTCCTAAAAATTGTGTATTTTGTATCACACAATATGTATTTTCTTATACGTGTCACATATGTTTTAGCTTGAAGCTGGCTAGGGAACTGCTCGGAAGCATGGGGAAAACATGAACAAGAAAGTTTTGCCCTGAACTCTGGTATTACTAGTTGCTGAACCTTCCTCCCTTTCTGCAGGTCAAAGATATAGATAGCCCTGGCATTGCTTAATTTTGTGAACTTTGTTACAGTTGTAGGTAGATGTCCACAGTAAACACCCCTGAAAGCCAAGTTGAAAAAGGCAAAACATCACAGTGCTGCTCTCCACAAGTTAGAAAGGGGGAATAACTGAGATATGACATTTACACGTTTAAACTTTCATGAGATAAATTCCAGACTGGGACTCTGGCACTATCAGTGTCCAGGAGATGAAGAGCACATGGGATTCGGAATTTAGGAGTGGATATACAGCTGCAGTGCCTATGCTGTATTCTGGCACAGTGCTGTAAGGACAGTTTTTACCATGAAATGACTAACAATGGGTCTCTGCAGGGGGAGAGGGGTGTCTCCCTAATGCTTGTGGTGCATGCCTAATGATGCTGCGAAGTGGCAAATCTCATCTTGCTAGCATGGGCTTCAAGAGCCTGGCTAAGGTCTGAGTACCACGTGCAGCTGAGAAGGTCGGCAGTGGTGGCAGCAGTGGTGGATGTGTCTTCTCTAGCACAACATGGGCTTGTTTTTGCATCTTGCTTGGAACAGCAGCACTGCAGCCATGCTCAGGCAGCCATAGCAAGGCTGGCAAAGGTCCTGATGTATGCTAGAACCACTAAGAGTCATGGAGTTACGTGGTATGATACAGGGCTTACTTACTGCTCTTCACTTTCCTCATTTTTGCTCTCGGTCTCCTGAGAGCCTGGTTTAGGTCAGCAAAAGAACCCCATTCTTTTCTCTCCTGGGTCAAAGCCTGGAGTAAAAGAGGAAAGGAGAAACATATTTTTCAGCAGCATAATGTTTTGCCAGGTCATGAAGTGGCTGCTAAAACCATGTTGTCTGGCTTTGCTTTCGAAACAGCTCAGTACTCATTGGGAGTCAGAGACAAAGGCTGCATCTTCTGTTACTTCTCTCACTTTTTTTTTTTTTTTTTTTTTTTTCCCCAGCTCTGTGCTCCTTTAACGGAGACAGGAGCAGAGTTCAGAAGAGGAATCATCAATTTTTTTCTAATAATGATACGTATAAAGATGTTCATGGTATTTTAAACACCATGCAAGAAGTTTCTAACACAGGATTTCACAGCTTTCCCCTGAATACAACTTAGGGACACATGACACTATAGTTTCTTAGAGGAAGAGTCTTTGTATTTAAGTGTTTTGCATTCTTTTTCACCCTAGGCAGATCCAGTTGGCAGATGTCAGCTTCTTACTCTTGAAAAACAAATTTTATTAGTTGTATACAATTAATTTTAAAAGGAAATAATAAATTTTTAAGTTCAAATCTGTAGAACAGAGCTGCAGAAAATCATATTCTTCTCAGAAGAATATGAGATAACACTCAGCCATGCCCTAGGGTCTTGAAGATAAATAGAAAATGTAAACTGAAATTCTCACCTCTCTAAAGTCAACTGGATTGATTTTCAGTGACCAAAGTAAAGCCAAGTTCTCACACTGAAGTTCAAGATCTCAGGAGAAAACCTAAGGGGAAAAAAAGTTAAAATTAATAAAAAATTAAGACCAAAGACATGTAGTTAATTTTGTGTGTATTGGGAATGCTGTGTGAATTTCTTAGTGGGACCAAAACTGAGCAGAAGCATAAGTATTTCCATGATTTAAGCCTAATGGTAGAGTTGGTGTTTCACGCAGTAATAAGAAAAATGGCATAAGGACAGCATTGGATTAAAATAGTAGGGTCACATGGTGACAACTTACTTGATCTTTTCAAGGTCTAAATACACAATTCAAATCAAATAAAAAGGCTAATTTCTACTTAGAGTTACACAAACGTGTACCAATATAATTATAAATACTTTTGTTTATAAATTTGAAGGAGTGAGAGGTTAAAGAATTAGTTGTAAATTGACTTGGCCTTCTAGAGGAAATGCATGCTAGACCTGATCTGTCTTTAATAATGGAGAATGTGTTTTGTCTCCTAATCTCTTGAGATTCGGTTAATATTAATGCAAGCAAGATGTGAAAGGAAATTCTGTGATTCGCTTTTTAGTAGCTTTTAGTCTCACAAGAGAAGGAATTGAAAATGAGCTAAAGAAGATTTTGTTTGAAAACTTATTGCAAAACTAAAGGCTTTTAGAGTCCTTCAAACACTTGTTCACTTTCTTTATGCACATTGATATAATTTTGTGAAGTTCATTTTCAAGATAGAGAGTTAAAACTGCACTGGTGTAAATTCTGTGGTTGCAGGTCCAAGTGAAGTGAATGTATATTTTGTGGTGTGAGCTACAAATGATAGTTAGCTAAACTATAGTACAGCTTTCCTAAGTCATTACAGAAATCCTGAATCAGTACAAAAGAGAATTTATAGTTAAAACTATGATACCTCTGAGGCTAGCTTACATAGGACATTTTATGACAGAAAAAGTCCTTTTCTCATTGATTTGCAAATCTCCAATCTGTGGGTGTCCTTCTGCCACTGATGGGAGCTAAAGGAGCAGCACAGGAGCCTGCAGGAGCTGCTGTTCCTGGCCTGGGGTGAAGCCTTTTCCTGTTCAGCAGGTAGGGGCACATTGCAGCCAAAAGCACCCTCAGCAAAGCACTGCTGCTCCCTGAGAGCTGCTGCTCGGCCCCAAGGGATCAGGCAGCCACAGCAGCACTTGCAAGTCTGTCATGAGGGATCCTTGAGTGTTACGGCCTTTCACTAGTGAAATCATAGCAGCATTAAGCAAGAGAACAACCACAACTCTAGTTTCAGTATAGTTTCCCAGTTCTTTGGATGGCTGACCCTAATTCACAGATCAAAATAATGGATAAAGGAGTGCTTAGGCAGGGATTTTAATGGAAAAATATCCTAGCAAATCTGTCTGCAAACTAAGAATCAATGAAAATACCAGCTGGTACACAGCACATTAAATCTGGATCATTCAGCCATCAAACTGGGAGCTCCTGGCACTCACTGGACTCCATCTGGACGCACCAGGCTTTTCCACCCTGGCTGTAGGGCTCCGTGGGTCAGGGGGAGCAGGCCTGCGGTGCAGGCTGGAGGCTGGTTGTGCAGGCTGGAGGCTGGTTGTGCAGGCTGGGGGCTGGCCGGGCAGGCTGGGGGCTGGTTGTGCAGGCTGGGGGCTGGTTGTGCAGCCTGGGGGCTGGTTGTGCAGCCTGGGGGCTGGCCGGGGAGGCTGGGGGCTGGTTGTGCAGGCTGGGGGCTGGCCGGGCAGGCTGGGGGCTGGTTGTGCAGGCTGGGGGCTGGC